CATTTGTCCCTTTATTAGGATTTGCAGGGTAACTCCTTTCACATGCACAGCCTCTGCGGACTTGAGGCAAGTCCTGGGCAGGCAGGGTTGCCAGTTCAGCCCCTGAGTAACGACTGATGAGCCATCTGCCAAAGCAGCTAGCCGCACGCCTGCTAGCGACACTGTGGGGTCTGGCTCCGTGGTGTGAAGTGGTCTGACTATGAATGTAGGGAGGAAAAACTGTCAAAGAACAACATGAGCTCTTTGCAAGATTGCTTATGTTTTCAGATGTTTCATAAACACACAATCCCAGTTGTTTGTTCTCACCATTGGGTGACAACATGGTATATCTTACCTAATGTAATGGTGGAAAATATAAATAGCTTTCTAGCAACCAGGCTTCATTAATATGTATTGGAAACCTAAAATGGTGTTCAGCTATGAGGGGGAAAAAGTACAGAATTGCTTTGGATTATAATCATTTCAGCAAAGCATCTAATTTATATATTAAGCTTGCTTAATGGACTTATATTGCCTTGCTCTTTGATCTGAAGAAAAAGGTGGTGAATAATTTATCAAATAAAAAAACCTCCCCTAGCCCAGCCCACACGTCACAATCTGCCCTATAATTTACACTTTTTAAGAGATGCCATTTCTAGGCAGGAGAACTGGTTCCTAAAGATTCTTTCTAATATTACAAATGTGGTTTTGAGAGGTACACTCTAGGGAAAAAAATAATAATGAAGGAATGCAATTCTACAGACAAATGTTTCAGCTCTATGCCTTCTTCACTAAAGACAGTCATTTCAGCTAAATGCCAAAAGGCATTTAGCTGTAGCATTTGTCAGTGGAATAGGGTTGGCTTTAGGTTTCCCTCCTGATTTACAATTGAGTGTTTATTGGGTTTACTGTACTGTAGCGTGTTTTGTTAACCTCTAAAAAAACCCATCCAGCTTGTGCATTAATCACAAGGGTGATATCTGTCACAGTAAACTGGGTCGGTGCGGGACTTTTGTGCCCCGCCAGGCTTCATGGAAAGGATGCTGGCTGCTCTCAGAGGGGCAGGAAAGATGTGCTGCTGGCTTTGGGCTGGCGTCTAGATAACCTGTGTCCAGCTCCTGGCTCCTCAGATGGTTTCTTGTGAGATGTATAATCTATTTCTCTCTGTCTTTATTTTTCAACCAGAAGAGCGGGGAAAAACCTCATCATGTCATCTCACAGTAGCTGGGTGAGCTGCTATAGAGTCACATGCTGAAGGAGGATTTAGGCTGGTGGGGTGTTTAACTGCTAATTGTTGGGAACTTTGTGCCCAGAGTTCCTCAACTGGTTTGTGTCTACCTGTTGTAGTCATTCCTCAGTAATCCTTGCTTCTGGTCACATACTTAGGGAACAGCAGTGTTGGTAATCATAGCTCTATCATGACTCCTGACATGTCTGCCATTCACATTTCCCCCCCATTTGTCCAAAGCAATGAGTTGTCAAACATTTACTATGGCTGTGTGCAGGGTTTATTCATATTTAAATAAAGCCATTATCCTGGCCTTGAGTTTCAGTAGTTTTCTGCTCTTCCTCTTGAGTATTTCTCTCAGTAGTACCATCTAATCAGCTTTAGGTTTTAATTAAACAGCTGTCATTTGCTTCCTAGTTCTGTTGCGACCTGATGTTGTATTAAATTTTAATTTAGCCTAGGCTGGATAAGAAGTAGATTCCTTCAGACAACAAAGAAACGCTATTAGCAGGTTACAGTTGTAATTAAGAAGAGCTCTGCTGAAGTGCTAATGCATTCAGGTACAGAGAAGGAGCTGGAGATAAACACGCACATAATTATTATTCAGGGATAGAGCCTGCAATATGAATGTGTAGCTTCCACCTGGGCTGCTTGAATTGAAGGTTTTGGTCAAGATCTCGCAGCTGAAACTCTAGACAAAAGAGATAGGAAGGGATTCCCGTTTTTTCACGTGGGACCTTGCAGCATCAGCAGTTCGAGGTTTGTGCTGGTGGTCCCAGGATGTTGTTCCAGATGTTTCACTGATGCTGTGCCGTGTGGGAGGACCTGCCTATGTAAATCAACATTATTACCCCTCTCTACATTTCAGATGCTGTTAGTAATAACCAGCACAGGTATCTTAAATTCAATAACACTTTTTCTGCAGTAAACCCTACCATGGAAATATAAAACAAGCCTAACAGAGTTTAGATTAAATGCTATTACTTGTTGAAGATGCACTAAAAAAAATATTCTTTATAAATCTAATGGACAGTCAATTAGTTCAGTTCTGCCTTCATATTTCTTTCTCAGAGGAAATATATTTTTCAGTCTGTAAATGGCCAGCTCTTAAAATGGTCTTTACACGTATTTGTGTAACACTCGATCCAGGCTTCAGGCATCTGAAATATTGATTTATATAATAGAATTGCTTACCAGTGAGGTGTAGTTTTTGTGAAGCAGCACCAGCTAATTAGCGTGGTGGGTACCTGTACATGCTGGGAAGGAGGGAAGGTTCAAGATGAGCATATTTCAGAGCACCCACAAATAGCAGGGTCGCAAGGTGTCTCTTCTAAGACCTTTCCTCTCATGCTCATCTTCACAGGGTGTTTCTGAAAGGAATGCAAATAACTTTATAAACTTTGCATTATCCTTCAGAATATCAAAGTCTGACTTCATCTTCGTAGCTAAGCAGCACTTAGAGTTAAAAGGAGGCTTGAGGTTTTGTTTATCCTTTGTCACACATGAGGGTCAACACGAGGGTGATACAAGGAATGGTGCAAAAACCAAAGGAGAAATTAGTTCAGGCTTGTTGAGAACCTGATTCCAAGTCCACTGAAGTCAAAAGAAGCCTTTCTTCTATGACTCAGTAGGGCTTTGGATCAGACCGTAATTGCATCCAAGTGCCTCCTACCCCTGTGTAGGAGTTACGTAGCTGTGCTAACAGAGAGTGGGTTTGGAAGTAGAATTAGTCGCTTGTTCGTTGTTTGCGACCTTGGCAAAAATACTGTTTCCCCTGATGCACTGAAGACTGTCCGCTGGTAAAGAATGGCTTAGAAATAGCATACTGGCAAACTGCTTCTTGGGAGCGTTTTGACACAGGAGTACCATCTTGGCATTATATATCTGGCATATGATTATATTGGATTGATGGCTTAGGTTTTATGGGATATTTGCTGTTGGGTTGGTGATATCTAACTACCTCTTCTCTGACATAATTGTGGGTGAAGCACCCCCAGTTCCTCTTTGTCTGTCTTTTACAACCTCTTTCCACCTGAGATGCATCTAATTGTTTTCTTTCACCTGGCAGTGCATGTTCTTAGTTTTGTTCAAACCTGTCTTTGTAAAGGTTTTACAGTTGTTCTTTCACACTTCCACTTTTGTCACATACTTCTCTCTTTCCCAGTGTCCCTCCTTGATGGATGGCAGCTGGTTATAAATGAGCCCATTCCACATGAACAAAAACTAGACAGTCATTTACTGTGTAAAACATCTGGTTTGTGCCTCGCAGAGAACAGAACAAAGACAGTATATTTATTTCATGAAGTATTATTCAGAAAAGCATCTCTATTCAGGACAACACTTAAACGCATGGTTAAATCACATTGAAGTCTAAGTGTCAAGTTGAGCACGTACTTTTAGTGCTGTTCTGAACAGAAATGGACTCGAGTACATGCTTAAATGCTTTTCTGGAACATGACTGCCCATAAAGCTCTAGTAGACTATATTAGTTAGCTGGCACTAGTGTTATTAGTACTTCAACTCATTTAATTCAGGGTGCTTTTTGTAGAAGTTTCCGAATATTGATTAATAATACATCTTAGTTGCAAGTATTTATTGGTCTTCTCCAGCTGTCCTTAGCTTGTGGTCAATGCCCATTATTTTCTATCAATCTAGCTAGCAGACAGAAGCAAATGATAGTGAATATATCTCCCTATGCAAGCTGCCATCAAATTTTTCACTAAAATCCATTTCTTCTTCCACCAATTCTAATAATGGAATTTAAAGTTAGATTAGTTGGAAGCAACTTTTTTTTTCCCCCCAGCTGGCAAGCAATTAGTTTTATGGAAGTTGAAAAATGAAAAATGGATTGATTCAAAGCAGTATTTCCTATTGCAGGCTTTTTGAGAAGGCCAAACTGAATCTCTATGAAAGCACTGATCGTTCCTTGCCCCTCGTGTGTCACGTTTTGGGCCTGCAGTAAGCACTGCTTAAGCAGAGACACGCTGCTCTGTAGGCCTTTGGAGGCCGCTCCCCTCCAGTCTGCATACGTGCTTATGCAGGACAGGGACCTTTGTAGCAACTCATTTGGAGTAATTAATCATACTGCAGCCATACTGAGACACAGAGGAAGGCTGCGTTAATGGAGTCATTAGAGTGCCAGCACTGTGAATTCATCAGGATTAGAGATAAATGTGGTAAAACATCTCTAGGTGGGATTTTGATGGGGAAAGATTAAAAAAATTGTATATGGATGGCATTGCTTAGTTTGTAATACCCTACCTCATGCATAGTTTTTCTCATCATGTATTTATGTCCCAAAAAGGTAAAATGGTCAACTCACAACACTGTTAGCTGGAAGAGTAAAGAAGAAATGCTGTTATTGTAATACTTGATAATCATCTCCCAAATCACTGGCATGATTTGGGGCAAAGGGGTGGCAAGAGTTGCTGACACCCTCTGGAGATCGTTACCGAACAGCACCGTGGTTCTGCCAAGCCACAGACGTGCCTTCGCACATAATTGCGTTACAGATTTCATTGCCACAGCAGCCAAACCTGTAACTGGGCTCAAAAAGTGTAAATCCATATGTTTGTCAAAAACAGAAGTCAATGGTCCAGATGCAACTTTAGGCTTAGAAAATAGTTAAACCATTGACTGCAGGGAGCTCAAAGGGTGTGTGCAAGGAAGGGTCACTCCTCTGCCCTGTCCCTGTCACGAGGCAGGGGTTTGGTTCATCAGTCTGACCCCTGCGGCATTCTCATGGTTTTATGCTTCTCTAACACCCATCCTTCGTTTGTGTGTGTGCATACAGGACACAGAGGTCCTTAACACGGCCATTCTGACGGGCAAAACAGTGTCTGTTCCAGTGAAGGTTGTTGCTGTGCAGGAGGATGGGTCCGTGGTCGATGTTTCGGACTCCACCGAGTGCAAATCAGCTGATGAAGACGTCATAAAGGTAAGGCACCCACACGAGCTGGAGAATGGAGTTTCCACCCTTTTCTCCTCCACCACCACCATATTGGGACCTAACTCACATTTGGGATTTTACATCAACACACACACTGGATTTTACATCAACCAGTTGTTTCACAGTCATGGCTGTTACTGCAGTGGCAGGTTGTTTCCATCGCACGATGAGGAGAGTGGTCTCCAGGAGTCACGCAGGGTTAGCACCTTTCCATAGACTGATGCGGAGCCATTTGTGCTCTCCATACAGGAGAGAGGGCCAGGGATGCTGACAGAGCAGTCCTAGTCCTTCTTCACTGGCCAGCCAGTGCTGATGAGAAAGAATGTGTTGTCTGATACATCCCACTTGGGAAAAGTTGACTCTCCACAGAGGAATCTTTGTTCTTGTGTGGCTTTTCTGCATCCATTATTTAGCAGTACTAATTTAGTATATTGTAACAGTGTGCAGCAAGGTTTCCTACATGCTTCTGACTGTGTCATCTGCTTTCCAGTCAGGAATTTCTTATAAGTAAAGATACTGAACTGTACCAAAATCTGGAGGAACATGACAGAGAACAGAAAATAACCACCATATTGCAAAAGGTCTTAAAATGAGAGCTGGGAGCTTTTAAACAATGTTGTGTTTTGCTTTGCTTTTTAAATAATAAGTTCAGCTGGTTCTCCCTCCCTGACATTGAGATGAAAATAGCATTAATGTGACTTTATCAAGACGTTGACTGCATGACTTCTGACACCATTGCATGGCTTTCAGCTTTTAGCTCATTATTATTTTTAGGCATAAAAGAGTTACTTTTCAATATCTTTAATAGGTTTATTTGTTTTATTATGTGTTTTGGGGGTGGTTTTTTCTTGTTTTAAATTAACTTAAGGATTGACCACCATTAACTCTGCATAGGAGTGGGGTTTTTTGGTCTTATTTATGAATTTCTTAGGGTAGTCCTAGAAAGGCAGTTTCTTTGTCGCAATTCCAGGAAGGTGCAGTATATTATATATAAATGCTATAAAAATTGGGCAGTATAGTCATCCTTTTTGCATAGTAATCCCGTAACCTGTAGATCTTATGACAAACTCCCTGTAGCTTTCAAGAAACAAGTTCCTCCCCATATTCTAGCTATGTTGTGTGTGAATGTCTTCCAGACCTGAGCACTTCTTTAAGTTTTCTTTAGATTGCATTAGAAACCCACATCCTTTACCTGTGTGTTTGAACCTATTATTATAACCTCTTTGTAGATAAGACTGCAAAGGTCCTAATAGATAGCTTGTACTTTGTCAGATAAATTTTCATGTTCTTTAGCTGGCTAAAAAATTGCACAGAGCAAAGCTATTTATTTTGAAGATGATATGCTGGAACAAAAAATTCACCTTCTTATTTTTGACAACTCTGAATAAGCTTGCTACCAATTTTTGGAATAAATTACATCCTCTAAAACAAACAAAATTTCATTACATTTTAGGTCCAACAACAAAGAAAGTCCTTTGCAGTTAAAGAGCTTACAGAGCAACTGTACATTTTGTAGATATTTCCTCTTTCTGAGACCTATAGGTAGGCGAAAGTTGCCATCCACTTGATCCTAGGTAGCTATAGGAAAGGCAAGATGGGTCTGGGCAAAAGCCTTAGCCAGGCAACCTCTACTTGCTTCCACCTTTTTTCATTAAAGTTTATTTCCATTTAACATGAAGGCAAATAATTAATAAATAAGATTCAAGTTATTGGGCAGAGGCATGTGTGCCTTTGTATCCTCAGGGAAGTTCATAGCTTGGGGCTTAGTTATACAGTAACGATGCCTAGCAGTTTTCAGACCTCAAAGCATTTTGCAAAGGACATCAGTGTATTACTCTCTTTTCATGAAAGTGACTGTTGCAATGTTTAGCCTCAGCCAGTGATGGAATAGGTCTCTTTAGTCTGTGCTCTAGCTTCTATATTTTCCCTTACGTATCACATGGGGAAAGAAAAAAATCACATTTTCTTTTTCTGGAAACCAAATTTCATTAAAAGTCCTTACCAGAAGGAACATGAATGAATATCTTTGTTTATGACTAACTTAATTGTCAAAGCAACAGACTCTCTTGATAAATTTTGCTACTCTTTTTTTGCTGTGTACCATACAGCTATTATCTGATTAGTGGCTAATATTTATCAGTTCACAATGAATTATTCATATTATAAACTCATGCACCAAGTTATAGATCATCAACATATTGCTGAGACTTGTCTTTTCTTTGCACTTCAGAAAACCAGATACCAATCTAAAAGATGGTGTATGTGGACTTTTGTTTCTATTAATTCAGTTTCTAGTATTTCTAGGACTTACTGTAGTTAGAGAATACTGGACTGAACCAGATAGGGAAAGGTCAGGAAAAGGACTCCTATTCTTCTTCCAATAATAAAATTAGTATCTGCAAACGTCAGGGAGATGTTGCATTTCAGAACACTGCTGGTTTAAAGTGCATTTAGTTCAATCAGTAGTTGTCTATACAGATATCCTGTCAAAGCTGGGCATGAAGTTGTTCTGGATCCCAAATTTAAAAGGTCCACTGAAGCTGGCAACTAAATAAGACTTGACATGACCTCTGTGAGCAGAGACAAGATTTCCAGTTGCAGTTGTGGATTTATACACTTCAAGAAAGCAAAGCTCTTGCCCTTTGACCATCTTCCTTTCTTGCTTTTTCAAAATGGGTTGTATTTCTAGGTGGAATGAGACCTGCTCCAAAGCACCTTCAAGTTGATGAATGTCCTCCCATTCCTTTCAGTGATCTGGATAGAGCAGATCGAAATGCAGGCCAAAATTCTGCACAGGTTTTACAAGATTTGCACTATAGTTCCCCCCTTTTTTTGGTAGTGACTAAGTTGGTTATAAATCAGGTCTTCATCTGGCTGCTCTGTGAAATTATTTGGGTATCAAATCACTGACAGAAGAGAATGCCTCTGGGAA